AAAAAAAATAAGAGTCTGTGTCCATCATACATGATGCGATTTTGTGGTCGGTCATCTCCGACTGACTTTTGGCATCTGGAGTTCACACCTCCAGGCTGTAAATCGGGTGTACATCTGCACAAAAGTTGTGTAGTGTAATCCAGCTTTAAGTTGAAATTAAATAGAATTCTCAGTTCCTGCTTTAGTTTAACTGAAAGTCCAATTGTAATAGACATAGACATTAGAGAACTAAAGACTCCTTCCTGTTTTCCCCATACAGCAAGAGTAAACCAGAGACCCCAAAGACGCCCACAACACCCACAAGCCCCCTCTCCCCGTCGTTTAGCTCCAGTGTGGGTCCTTTATCTCCTCGTCTGCAAACTGGGGATCCCATCAGGGACAAATGCATCGAAATGCTGGCTGCTGCGCTACGTACAGATGGTATGCAAAAACAACCACTCGACACCCACGCAGACATGCTGACATATATTGGTTTGATGCTCATTATTTTGCAGATGATATTCACAATATGCTTTTCCTCTTAGATGACTACAAAGACTATGGGACAAACTGTGAGGGCATGGCAGCAGAAATCGAGGATCATATCCTTAGTAAACATATGTGTTGACTAAGTCAAACTAAGTGCAGAATCTTCTTGAAAATATTGTTTAATGTTTGCAAGTTGATTTCCTTAACCGTGTTCTTCTGGTTACATATCTACCAGGAGATAAGAGCCGCAGATATGAAATACAAGAACAGAGTTCGCAGCCGCATAAGTAACCTCAAAGATCCCAAGAATCCCAATCTGCGTAAAAATGTCTTGGCTGGAGCCATCGAGTTGAGCCGCATCGCCATCATGACTGCTGAGGTGGACTGCTCATATTGGACCTCTTAAATAATTTGAATTTATTTGTAAAAAAAAAAAAAAAAAATCATTAATATGAATTACAGTTTAAAAAATGTGTTGTTCAGCAAAAAGTCAGTTAAAAAAGAATCAGTAAAATCTAAGTTTGTCTTTAAATCAATATTTATGTCTTGTTTTCCAGTAAAAATATAAAGTGGTAAAATCTAATAATAATTATAAAATATAAATATAATTTGTTAAGAATTGTTTTCAGAGAACATACACTACTTTTTTGATGTTTTTTTGAAAGAAGACACTTATGTTCTCCAAAGCTGCATTAATTTGTTTGAAAATACAGTAAAACGGTACTGTGGTGAAACAACTGTTTTCTATTTTAATACATTTTAAAATGTATTTTATTC